TTTCAACAGCGCCTTTCTCAACACTCAAGGACACTTTACAGACAGAGATAAAATACACAACAATAAAAGATAGAACATCATACAACAAACAGATGGATTGGAGCAAAGAGAGTAACTATTGGAATGCTAGACGGAACAGGTGGGAGCATATCTCCACAGGCCGTGGTCTCTGTGTCGGTCCTGGTTTGGCGACCAGAGTACGGTGGGCTCGGTCCAGTTTAGGTGGCGAGAACAGGACGTCCTTTCCGAATACATCCAGAAGCAGTGTGGAAAAGACGGTGGTTGGTTGGGCGCCCTTAATGCCCTCAGGCAGGCCGATTATACGCAGATTGTTGTGGCGGCTTCTTCCTTCCAGGTCCATTAGCCTAGCCTTCATCTTAGCATTGTCCTCCATCACAGCTGCGAGCTTCGTCTGTACCTCCCGTAAATCAGAATCAGCAGAGTCTGCAAATTCCTCCAGTTTCCCAATCCATTGGCGGTGGTCGTTAACCATAGTTTGAAAGTTGTCCAACTTTGCCTCCAGTTTGGAAAACTCTGCTAGCAGCCCCTCCTTGTTCTCGGCTAGCTTCGTTGTTAGCAGTGCCATAACGGCGCTAGTAGCCTCCTCTCATTCATGTTCTTCCTTTCTTTATTTCTTTGACGTTTCCTTAAAAAAGGTTAAACTACCCACGACAGAACGTGTGAATCCGTGTAAAAATGAGCTTGAGTCGGTATGATGACCGAGTTGTGTTATAAAGTCAAGGAGCGCAGGCTGGTGCGACTACTCCATCCAACTGCTAGGTGGAAGTCCAAAAATTATACCTAGTGAGCAGCATAGTAACTAAATCCATCTCCACCTTGGTTTTTTATGACTCGAGGTTCTACCAGCTGATTATTTCCAAGGGATCTCAGAGCCCTATTGGGAGTATATACAGGAATGAGATCTGACATGTATTTTGGCCCCATGCCATTGAGTGATTTATAAACTAGTAGGAGCACTTTGAAGTCTATTCTGTGGTTTGCTGGTAACCAGTGTAGGGATCTAAGATCAGGAGTGATGTGCTCCGTTCTCTTATCTTGTTAAGACTCTAGCAGCAGCATTCTGAACAAGCTGCAGTTGCTTCACAGCTTTTTTTGGAAGACCAGTTAGGAGACCTTTGCAGTAGTCCAGTCGACTAGAAATAAAAGACCTCTAACTCTTGATATTTGATGAAGGTGATAAAACGCTGATTTAGTTATAGCCTTAAATGATAAATGACCTGCACTTGCATAGCGCCTCTCAGAGTATGGACTCCAAAGCTCTTTACACTACATTGTGTCATTCATCCATTCACACACACATCCACACACTGATGGTGATGAGCTACGATGCAGCCACAGCTGCCCTGGGGAGCACTGACAGAGGCGAGGCTGCTGAGCACAGGCGCCACCGGTCCCTCCGACCACCACCAGCAGGCAAGGTGGGTTAAGTGTCTTGCCGTAGGACACAACAGCAGAATTCTCTGTCCGGAGGCAGGATTGAACCTGCAACCTTCCGATTACTGGACAACCCGCTCAACCTGTTGAGCTACTGCTGCCCCAGAGACGTTCAGGTCAGAGTCAATAATAACGCCAAGATTTCTAATCTGGGCTTTTGTATTTATTCCCCTGGAGTCCAGCTGAGCAATAACATCCATTCTATCCTTCTTGTTGCCAAAGACAATAACTCAGTCTTGTCTTTGTTTAGTTGAAGGAAGTTTGACTGTAGTATTTTATCAACTGGTGGGCTGTTTTGGGGGATTCAGGATGACAGGTGGCTGTAGCAATTTCTGTGTCTTATCTCCCGTCTGATTGTGTCCTTCATGAAGGAAAATGAGGAAACGCAACCACACCGTGTTGCTATGTTTCATATAGTCGTGTTTCCTTCTTTCTGTGGCTGTCGGAACATCCACACAGCACCTGCTGCTGATTTACCGATTCCTAATCTTCTGAAAGGACACATAAGTCATTTCTAAACAGCCAGACAGTGGTGATCAGCCTGTCTGTCTTCAGATTCAGTAGCAGGAATACAGATGTGCATTAAAATGGAAAATAATCACCCTTCCTGTCCGTCTGCTCTTCCGGGTCCCAGATTTGTGTCGTTCATCACGCGTCTTCCTGGCTGAACCACACCCTCCTTGAATTCCTTCTTAGTCACTGCGCTGCAGAAAGTTCAGGCTCGTGTATTTCTTGTTAAGGGTCAGAGGTTGAATTAACCATTTCCCTTTTTCTGCACTGATATGTTGTTTTAAACCCTGAGTTAACCAGAGATTGGTCTGAAGAATGGATGGATTTTGGGGCCGCCATTCGTCTTCTGGCCTGAAAGGGGTTGTTTTCTTCTGGCCCTGTCACCTTTGATGAATCCCCGCTGAAGACTCCTCTGTGGAAGGCACGGCCAGCATTTGCCTTGGCTCAGAGGCGCTGCGTTTCCCCTCACACCAACCCCCCACCTCTCTGATTTTTGGCTAAACACTTTTAGCTGCAACCTTTTGCCCACAAAGCCTATTAACTTTAGTTTGTGTTTGTTTGTGATGCGTGGACCACAGAGGACATTAATAGTTGCTGTGGGAGAAATTAATTTTCATAGGTCAGCTACGTGAACATCGCTTCCTCAGGGATGAGGGGTTGCATTTACACTTGTTTATTTTCAAGAAAGAGGTCAGTTTATCATGATGAGTGGCTTTTGGGGTTATTTGTGAAACAAGAAAAGAAACTTTTATGAATGATTTTGGACAAAAGCCCCTTTGGGGCTTCAGATCGTAGATCTGCAGTAGGTAGAAGCTGCTGCCAGTCCCGTTCTGGTGCTCTGAGTGTTGACGTAGCTGCAGATAAACAGGAATTAAGAAGATTTTGAAAAAAAGTAAAATTTTGCAACACTGATTGGCAATCCACTTTGTGAAGCCACTTCAGCAGTTTGTCAGCTGATTTTATCACTCTGGCGGTAGTTTTATGGCCGTCCCTCTTATGTTCTTTTACATCTCTTTAAGTTGTCAGTGATGTTAGCCATCAGCATCTGGATCATGGTTCCAGCGGACTCTTTTTAATACTTTTCACCCCATGCTCATTTGTCACTATGACGATGAATCTTGGAGGTTTTAAATAACCGTGATGACATTAAATTATAGAATAGAATAGAAGAGTCGTTTATTGTCATTATATCTGAAGGTAAAACAAAACAAAACAAAACAAAACAAAAAAACAAGGGTGCACCCACTGAGCCACCTTGAACCACAGACAGGTGTGAAACATAAACAGGTGGGGAAAAAACAAGGTAAATATGAGAAAAACATGAAGAAAACACATGAAAAAGATAGTAAAACCCTGCAATAAAAGGAAGTATGATGCATAAGTAGATAATAAAAAACTTGCAAAAACTGCATATGAGGAGAGCAAAAGCAGCAGCAAAGTAAAATCTGTTACAGTGAGACTAAACTCGTTTCTGATTTTGGTTCTAAGTGATTTTAACTAAAACTCCAAGTTTGCACATCACTGCAGGCTACCTAAAACAGAATGTTTTAAAAACCAAACAAAAAGCTGATTTGTGGCACATTTTGATTCCTTTCAGCTTTAATGGAGAGGAGGAACCCAAACGTTGACTTGACAAATATTAGAACGTTAAAAGATCCACAGCAGCTGTCCTCATTTTGAAGGCACATTGAAGCGGCTGCATTCCAATTTGAGTAAAGTGAGAGATAAAGTTCACACACACACACACACACACACACACACACACACACACACACACACACACACACACACACACACACACACACACACACACACACACACACACACACACACACACACACACACACACACACACACACATATCCCTTTTCCTCCACTAAGAAATAATTATCCCTTTGTGTGATGTGGCTTTGCTCCAAGGCCGTGCACTTTGCTGGAGCTGCTTCTACCGAAGAACGTCTAAAGAAAGAAAATCAAGAGAAAAACATATCTTTGGGTTTTCATTTATTGCTACTAATTTCCCATCCATCCATCCATCCATCCATCCATCCATCCATCCATCCATCCATCCTTCGATCGATCCATCCATCCATCCATCCATCCATCCACCCATCGATCGATCCATCCATCCATCCACCCACCCATCCACCCATCCATCCATCCACCCATCCACCCACCCATCCACCCATCCATCCACCCATCCATCCATCCATCCATCCATCATCCATCCATCCATCCATCCATCCATCCATCCATCCATCCATCCATCCATCCATCCATCCATCCATCCATCCATCCATCCATCCAAGTGTTTGCAGCAAGAGATACAAGTATAAAATCACACAAACTTTTGCTAGAATATAGAATAGAACAGGATAATGTCACAGCAGGAATAACATTTCTTAAGAATATTAATGAAGAAAGAAAGAAGAAAAACTACACATAGAACAAAAAGTTATTTGCACAAAAGTCTTAAAAGATTAAATATAATTTATCACAATGAAAGAAGATATTAGTACAATTTAAAATGCCACTCTTCTGTAAGCACATGAACAAAAGCATGCTGTTAAATTGTGTAAAAGACTCATAAAGGCATTTAAAAGAGATTGGAAAAGTTAATCAAACAATAAAAAAATAAATTAATTCTTCTTTTTCTTCCTTTTAAGAAGAAATGCTTGGAAAGTGGCAAACAAAACTGGCTCAGGACAAAAGCTGACGCATAACTCAACATGTCGGGTTCATGTTCGTTTGAGGAATACGTTAAAAAACGATCTGGATGGGACTGGTTACGACAGTTGTCATGCTGAAGTGTCATAACTGTTCAATTAATACAGAAAAGTGACATTTAAACCATCCAAATACATTTAGTTATAATCAGTTGTATGAAAAGATAAAATCGTCATAAAACACACACACACACTCAGATTTTTTACATGTTCACTCTCTGGTTGCTACGGTAAAAGAGTCATCCTCTCCCCAGGCTCCTGGCTCCTCCCCCTGTTAGGAGTTATTCACTAATTCAAGAGAAGTTCAGGAGAAGAAGGGAAGTCGGACCAGACACGTTCTCCTTCACACACTCTTCATGAAGAGAGTTTGTTATTAGACATCCAGACTTTCGTTACTGGTCAGATTATTTTGTACTTCACTCCATCTTATGAAACAGAGAAGATGCTTTCTGTGGTCCACTTTGAGAACTTTCTGAAGACGAGTCACCTCCATGCTTCTCGTTGTTTCAGACCTTGTTTTTTTTAGGATTTTGACATCGTTGGACACTTTTTAAATTTCCCTGCGTTTTCCTCCGGAATTCATTCCCTTCTAGCTTGGACTGTGCTGAACTGCCGTCCCCAATGCTGACTGAACCGTATGGATCAATGTCTGTGGGGTCAGATGTTCACGACCTGACCCTTCTCCCTCCAGCTCCCCCCGTGCCGGCTTTACCAGGAGCTGCTGGTGGCTGTGGGATGTCTGTTGGTGGAGGTCAGTGGACCCAACTGCTGGACCTCCATCCCAGCTCACCCTACAGCTCCCTGAACCCCCACCACTCTCTCATAAAGCAGGAGCCAGGCTGGGGGGCCGCCGACCCAACGGAGGACCCTCACTGCGGACTGGGAGCGTTCACTGTCCACATCTCCGGTCAGTTTACGGGCTCGGGGCCCTGTCGGGTCGGTGCCTTTGGGGAGACGGCACCTACTCAGACCAGGATGTTTCCCAGCGGATCCTACCTGTCCGGCTGTGTGGACAGCCCGCCTGCATCCAGGATCCAGGGTGAGATTCCTCCTCATCCAACCCAACCTTCAGAAAAACCCCAGAACTTGAATTTTGTTTTGTTTTGTGTTTTTTGGGGAACTTTTAAAAAAAATTAAAAGTTATTTTGAACTAGTTTACAGATTGTTTTATCTCTGATTTTAAAATAACCTCTTGACCTTTGTTGCAGCGATGAGCAGGGAAACAGCTTATTCCGACCTCACACTGGATTAAAAAAGTCTCTTCACGAGAATTTCATTAGAAAGTCAAGCATTAAACAGGAGAAAACATCTGGAGTCATAAACTTATAAATCCTTAAAACAGTTAAATCCCACATCTGTTCAACAAACAAAATAAAGAAGTAAATATTAGAAGAAGAAAATAGTATTATCTGGAGCATATGACACCCGTACGATGCTTTCTCCTCAGCAGCTTTGGTGGGTTTGTGCACACAGCTGCATTTTGTGTGCTAAATGGAAAATTCGTTTTCTTTTTAAAAGAAATCACTAAAAAAAATCCTTCAGGATGCAGAAAACATGAGTCATTCTTCTAAGAACAACATTTCAGCTTCAAGCTCAGGCCTGAAGATGACAAACATTTCACAACTTCTTGCAAACTAAATTGTACAAAAATATGAATGCAATACAACGCGTTTCTGCATTTCACTTAAAATCATCCTTGTCATTTCCCAACACTGTTTTCTTATGAAGAGCCTATTAAACAGTAGAAGTTTGCCAGATTTCTTTTTCCACCTGCTGTACATATTACAACCACAAGGCCAACGATAGATGGGAGGAAAAAGAAAGGGGGTTTAGCTGTGTGATGAATGTCTCTCTGTGGTAATCCCGCCGGGAACCAGATGAGCAAGAGACACACAGATAATCGGCCGAACTCTGACGAGCTTCAGAATGTTAACTTCTGTAATAACGACTCAACCAGACTCCTGTTGTTTTCCTCTCAGGTTATGGAGCTGTGGGTTTGGACAGCAACCCCAGCTATGGTCATACGCCGTCTCACCACCACCCCCAGCTCTCCAGCCTGTCCTTCAAGCACGATGACATGCTGTCACCGCCAAACAACATAGGTAACCATCTGCGCCTTGACATCTTTGTGCTAAATTGATTCCCAGACCAGAAAACTGTTATGTCTCAGCAAAGTTATATAAGAAACCCATCATTTGTCATGTCAGCACAGTATCACAAAGTGCCCCTCTGGTCTGCTTCAGGTCTTTTGTCTCATAAACACAAACAGTTTTTCATAATCACTTTGGAAATTATAACTTGAGGAAGTGACTTTATTAGAATGTCAGAAACCATCCAGAGACTAGAATACTAGTAACAAGGTAACACTTTACAATAAAATAAATGGTCCCTTATACTTAGTGCATTATTAAGCACTAATTAACAAAGGATCTATGATCATTTTACTTAGTGCATTATTAAGCATTAATAAACAAAGGATTGGGTTATTAACATTACTTATTGCAATTACAAGCATTAATAAATCAAATATCCCTTTATTAATATTACTTTGTGCATTATTAAGCATCAATAAACAAACAATCCCTTTAGTAATTTTACTTGATGCATTACTAAGCATTAATTAACAAATGGTCTCTTTATTAATGTTACTCAGTGCATTTACAAGCAGTAATAAACAAAGGATACATTTATTAACGTTAGTGCATTTATAAGCATTAATAAATACAATATCCCTTTATTAATATTAGTGCATTATTAAGCATTACTAAACAAAAGGTCTCTTTATTAACGTCACTCAGTGCATTTGCAAGCATTAATAAACAAATGATCCCTTATTAATGTTACCTGATGCATTTTAAGTATTAATAAACAAAGGATCCCTTTATTAACATTCCTAATATTAAGTCCTTAAGGTTAGAACAAAGACCTGGGGGTGTGTGTGTGTGTGCTTATTAATGCATTACTTAATATTAATGCTGTTATTAAGAAGTTGTTAATACTTTATTTAATATTTGATTTTATTTAATAGTTTAGTATTGATTTATTATGCACTAAGTAATGTTAATAAAGGGAGCCTTGTTGTAAAGTGTTATCCAAAACAAAAACAACAACTTGCCACACATGTGACTATATTTTCTTTTTTTTTCTTTTTTTTTTTTTACATTTTCTTAATATTAGGTTAGACTGCTTATATAAATGACATCTTATTACAAAAACAAACCTTTTTTTTAATTTACTTCTGTTCAGTGGATCAGCAGTATTCCACTCCAAATACCATGTTTGGTTGTCACAATCCATCAGAATCCTGTCCAAGCAACCAAGCTCTGCTGTTAAGAAACTACAACAGGTAAAATCAACTCCATCTCTTTAAAATGTCTCGATCCCATCTCTACCTCTACAGTTTAATTTCAGATTCTTTCCACTGACAACGTTTGCTTACATCTGTGGTATTTTTTTTAGTAGTGTGAACTCTCCCTGATCCCTCATTGAGCTCTATGTTACCTTCCACACTGTCTAGATCATGAATCCTCATTTGTTCTGAGGTTAAGTGCTGCCCACTGGTGCTCAGCAGGCCAAGACAAACACAGAGTGATCTACTGCTGATGTGTATGAGTCCAACCTGAAGGGAAAAACGGGGAAGAAAGTAGAAGAGACAAAAGCTGAGAGAAAGTGAGAGGTGCACCAGAGGAGGGGCAGCTGGAAATCTGCATAGTTCACACTCTGAATGTGTCTTCAGCTTGTTTTCATTCTGATGGGAAGTATCTCAAACAGTAAATCGGGAGGGCATTCTTTAAATGTCAGCTCGAGATGTTGTTGGAGAAAAAGGAACATGAGCAACCCAAATACTGGGACAAGCAGCTGATAAGCGGGAGGAAGACTGTGATGCTGTTACAGCCAGTGGCAGGAACTGGAAACCCTCAAACAAGACGAGAAGCACGCACGTGCACATGCATGCACGCACGCACACGCTCATGCATGTCAGATATCAGTGAGCTTTTCCACATTTCAGCATAGCTGAGAGCTGATTAGTGAGCCAGCAGCAACTTTCCCTCAAGGACTTCTCAAGGAATGCCTTCCAGAATTCCCCCCGAAACTGTTTTCCGCCACTACTGATACAGTGGACGGGGTGATGTCACGCACCGGTCCAGGGTGTACTAGGCACGGAGGCACCCACTCCCACGGAGAGCACAATCACAGCTCCAAGTGTGTGCATTCTTGTGCGTTTGTGCAGCAGTGGGAACTGCCAAGAAGAAGAGAGGCTGGAGGCTTTAATGAGACCAGAGAGGAGTATGGTGGGTGGACGGGACATGTTAATGAGCAAACCTTAGAAAAATCCCCTTAGAAGGAACATCTTCATTAGTTACCTTGTCTTATGACCCTTATTGACCTAAATAAGTGTATAAGTAGGTAAAAAAAAGAAGTCCTTGTACTTGCTGGTGTGGAGATAAAAAAGTTGCGTATTTTATTCATCTAAATGAATTTAATAGTTCCCAGACCAATAAAATGAAAAATAAAAAAGAAACACATTAATGATTAAAAAAAACTTCTTTCTTCAGTGACAACTTGTACCAAATGGCCTCTCAGCTGGAGTGTGTCACCTGGAACCAAATGAACAGCCTGACATCATCCATGAAGAGGTGAGCCTTTTGAATCAGAAAACAGATTTGAATGGGTCTGAGGATTAGAAGCAGCAGGAGGATTTGACCAGAAGGCTTCTGGCTTGTTGCCTGCAGGGAAAACAAGGCAAGAAGTCAAGCTCTACAGGGTCTCCAAGAGTGTTTTGGGTCTGAATCTTTCTGTTTGACAAAAGCAAATTTTCTTCTTGCTTATCTGATTTTGCATGACTTGGTGTTTCTTTCTTTATTTTTGACCAACCAAAGCACAAACTGTCCTCGTCTGACTCAGATTTAGCTGACTTGACAAAAAAAACTGTCTCAGATAAGAAAAGTTGTTCTAACTTTGGAAAAACAATGTAGGATCACATGACCTTGACTTAAAGGCAAAGTTGTTTACTTATTATTACTGCATTTATCTCATTCTATACGGGATGTTTGATGGGTTAGGGTTAGCCGATTTAGTCTAAGTCTTGAGTTCCTGTACAATAGAAAGGGTTAGGGTTATGTTGGGTCCACTCCTCACAAAAACGAAAAACTATCTTGGGTAACATCACATATCTCTTATTCATACTTAAACAATTGAAATTAGAACAGGTGTACAAATCAAACAAAAATTCTTGAAAAAATCAAACCTTAGATTCGTCATATTTTGACATTTAGCGTCAGAGGAGAAGTAACCAAAGGGTGTGATGTATGATATGTGTAAAGTTGTATCATTAAAAGCAGAATAATTTCCAGTTTTACATTTCATTGCCAGTATCTGCCGATAAAATCGGACAGCTATAGATTTTTTGTTTGGTTTTCCTGAGGAAAATAGAAAACCAGGAATCCACCATCTCTGCTTGTTTGATGTGTGACTCTATCCTTGCCTGTCGGTAGCCATCACACCAGCTTCGACAGCGAGCCCACCGTCCCGGCCCCACCCATGCTCGTCAGCGCCCAGTACCACATACACACACATGGTGTTTTCAGAGGACTCCAGGTCAGCCAACTGACACACACACACACACACACACACACACACACACACACACACACACACACACACACACACACACGCACGCACGCACGCACGCACGCACACACACACACAGTACATCAACATGCATGTGTAACTTCTGCACAGTGTTAATTGTTTTGCTCCTTTCCCTATCCAAGGATGTCCGATGTGTACCTAATATTACTCCTCCTGCAGTTCCAAAGTCCACAGAAGGCAGTGACAAACGCCCTTTTGTGTGTACTCATCCTGGCTGCAACAAGAAATACTTCAAACTGTCACACCTGCAGATGCATGGCCGGAAGCACACGGGTGATCCTCACAGGACCATTTGTATTTGCTCAGAACTCAGTCCAACAGTGATGATGATTTAAATTATCTCACAGGAGAGAAACCGTACCAGTGTGATTATTCCGAATGTGGCCGGAGCTTTTCTCGTTCAGACCAGTTAAAGCGACATCAGCGCAGACACACAGGTACATCAGCTTCATTAATAATTTATTTTGCTCATTTTTTGAGATAAAAGTTACAAATTGTTGCTGATGGCTTTCTAAATGGCCTCAAATCAGAGAAATACAGCTCAAATCCAGCATGATTGATAGGCTACAAGCTAGTCTGGTTGCAGTAAACGCCAAAGTGCTAAGCTGCTATTTAAAAATAGCTCCAATCTCAATAAATGTCAACAAGCCACAAAATCAAAAGAGCCACAATGCTGGACAGAAAGAATTACAAGTCCCAGGGCAACAAGGCCAGGTCACACTCAGCCTGTGATTTCCTAGCCTCCCTCGGCTCCATCAAATGATCAAAAGAGTGTAGGCCGTGCCGATGTTCACGCTGGTTTTAGTGCTTTGCTTTGCTTACAAAGACTCACTTTTACTTTCAGGTTCTGCCATGTGGCCAATCAAAAAAGCTAAATTCTTCTTAAGTTTACTATTGACGGTCAGCAAACTTAAAAAGCTGACTGCTAGCCTCCGTATTAGTTACAAACAGCAAAAACGGCCAATCACACGTTAGCAAGTATCAGCAGAGCCAATAGATGAGATTATGGATGGGTCTAATGGGAAACAGGCTTCAACACAAGCGGTTGTTTTCTGCTCGGTCCTAGTACTCAACCAGTGTCTAGCATATTGTTTTTGCACGGTAAAAAGCGCAGGGGACAAAAACTGACTTTGGAAAACGTGGGGGAGCCCCCCCCCAAAAAAAACACGTCTATGATGACATCACACCAAGTCTACCGTGACGTGACAATAGTGTCCTCGGCCGGATTTAGTTATTTCCATCTGAGAGCGTTTTGTCTGACTTATTTTCCTCAAGAGTTTTGGTTTGACAACTTTTTTCCTGAAGCTGTTTTTCCTTATTCTTTTTTGTCTGATGGCTTTTTTCCCGAAGACCCTGTTGACTGACACGATTTAGTCAGAAGTCTGATTGGTGAATGAAACCCGAAGCTTTTCTTTATGGTCTGATGTCCAACACAAATGGACCCCATACTGCTGCTTTATCGCAACAACAGTCTTTGAACCAAACAAAGCTCCTCTAATGTTTGATTTAGTCAACATGTTTCAGTTAAATGCTTTTCAAGGAAGACTCTTGCATATATTTTTTTTTTACTTCTATAAATCAGGCTTTGAGTGGAATCTCAACAAACCCTTTCCTACAACTTTTACAAACATATAAATCTGACATGTGTTTGCTGAAGCAGAACTATTTGGCTCAGAATGTAAAAATAGATTTATGTTGACAAAAGAAGACGTAATTAATGAATTCTAAAAATATAAATGGCTACTTTTTACACAAAGTAAATTGTTCTATTTTAAAATGCACCAGTGAGGCATTTTCTGATTGAATCCAGGCAAATCTGCATAATTATCCAATTGAGAACATTTAATAGAATTAACATCTAAATGAGTTTTTGGGAAGTTTTCTTCCACTAGACTGAATAAAGATATTACATATCATATGAACCCTAAATTGTCCTGTAAATGAAGAGGAAACACACATGCTCTGAAACTTTAAACTTTCCATCCGTAGAGTAGTTTCCACGTTGAAATTCTCACCATCTATTTTCCCATTTGTGATTCTTCTCCGTAAAACTCACGCGGACCCTGAAGGAGTGAAGCCCTTTGAGTGTGCAACGTGTCAGAGAAGGTTCTCACGGTCAGATCATCTTAAGACGCACACTCGGACTCATACAGGTAAAACAAGTGCGTATACTTTTTTATTTTCTTCCTCTCTTTCCATCTCCCATGATGCAACTTCAGCTTTACCAAACAAGTCTGTTATTCTAAAGCAACGCTCTCTTCCCCCCCACCCCCCCACCCCCTCTCTCTCTCTCTCCCCCCCCCCCGTTTTCCCCCTCTTTGTCCCTTTTTTGTCAGGTGAGAAGCCCTTTATTTGCCGCTGGCCCAGCTGTCAGAAGAAGTTTGCCCGCTCCGACGAGCTGGTGCGCCACCACAGCATGCACCAGAGGAACCTGACCAAGCTGCAGTCGGCCATCTGAGCAGGACGACGAGGAAGAGGAAGGTGACAATATGTTGTGCCAGATAGTGGAGAAACACGCCTGGAGCCTGGTCAGCAGTTAAGGTGCCTTGCCAGATTTGCTGATGTGGTGAGCACAGCTGACTCCTGCCTCGGTCTCACACACACACACACACACACACACACACACACACACACACACACACACACACACACACACACACACACACAGACACACACACACACACACACACACACAATGTGAGGAGAACAGACTCTATGAAGACTCTGAAAACCGTTTCAACGCTTCAGAACTGGCGCCTGTCGTGAATGTGGAGTAAAAAACTTGGACTTGGTGACAGTTTAATCCCACAATAATTCTGAGTCAAGAAGACTTTTTTAACCCTGCAGAAGAGGAAAGACATGGATACACTATTTTACTGCTATACACTTGCACTGTCTTGTGTTTTGCTGTTTTAATTAATGAAAATATGCTGGATTGTGCAAACTGGATTCAGGAAAAAGGGACGATTTATCATTTAAGTTGATTAATTTTTATTTTTGCTTTAGAGATTGCCAACCATTCTACTTTTCCTTAAGTAGATAACACTCAGCAAACCACTTTGTATATAAAGTATGTGGAGTTTATTCTTTTCTTACTTTGTACACTTTGCTTTGTCTTTGTACATTTATAAAAATTGGATTTAAATCACATGTGTGCTTGTGTGTCTGAAACACAAAAGAGGTATTAGCTCTGTCAGGGTAAAAGGCCATTTATAAAAGATGGTATTGTATGGGGGGGCTGAGGGACAGTATAACACCCACTGGCTCTGACAAGGTGCAGGTCTCACCCTCCTAAATCACACGCACGTCTTTATAACCAGGAACATCTGCAGCTCAGTAAATCTGAACACACATACCTTCTTGTCAGGAGGCAGAACTTCACCGGCTGTTCCCTGCTCTGCAGGCTGGGGGCCCTAAACTACATTTTATTTTAAATCAAAGTTTCCTATAGTTGCACCTTTGAGCCACATGGGGGCAGTGTCAGCCAGCAGACAAGGTTTGACTCTAACCCTGCTTGTAACGATGTCATCTAAGGCTTTAGAATTCAACTTTATACCGAGGCTTTGGAGTCCATAGCATATATGGTAAAATATATGTTTCAGAGAACGCCACAGCCTATCAAATAAACATGAAGTGGATGGAGTTGTGTGTCTGCACGTGTGCGAGTCTATAAAAGATGGGATGATTCAGCTACTGCAAGTCTGTTAATAAAATATAGCTGAGTATGGGCAGAAAGAGCAGTGGCACAAATCTCTGCGCTAATTTTTGCATGAGAATGGAAAATAAATGTAAACACTTGTTGGCAGCTTTTAATGAAAGAATGAAAACCCTGCATTAGCATCAAAACACAATTAGATCTTCAGTATGCAACTTAGAATGATCTAAATTAAACGAATCCAATATTGCATGACTAAAAAAACAAATGCATGTAAATGTCTTGATTTTATCAGTGATATACTGGTTAATTAAACTGGTATGAGCAAAAGTCAATGTTTACAAGTTTTTATAGGAACAGAAAAATAGTTCATGGAGATTTTATAAAAAGAGATGCCGATAACCATCTAGATGAAGAAACGTTACAGAGCCATTTTTAAAGTTTAACGGGGTGGAACACTCATGTAATCAATACATTTGCAGTGGTCTCTAGTAGGAATGAATGCCATGTAAAGCATTCTCTGGGAGGGAAAAACACTGATGCACCATGCAGGAACTGGGAGTGAGCCACATTACAGCTGAGCTTTAGATGGATGGATTTGGAGTCTTATTTCCTGATATTTGGACATCTCACCTCAGACTGGATAGCAGCAACACAACTCTACCACTGACTTGCAACAAGGATGTTTTATCTCCACAAATAACAAGTTTAAAGGAGTTGTGGTGAAGTTGTAATGCTAATGGTTAGTTTCTACTAGTTTCCTGGGGTCTCATTTATCAAACATTGAGTAGAATCCTTACTAAAACCGTACTTAAGCTCAGCAAAAAAAATGTACTTGCGCCAAGTAGGTTTGTGATCTATCAAACATGGAGTACGCACAGCTGCACGCAATCTCCGCTTCATAAATCGGAGACTAACGAGAATGTTTCTCAGCTGCTTTTTAGTTACATCCCGCCCTCACCACGCCCACTTACTGCCATAAATGGTCAATGCAAAGTGCCTTGTGGATCTCATTCATATACATAAGCCGGCTGTTGCAGCGCTCCGCCAGTGATGATGGCGACCGTAGATCAAGGCAGATCAAGGAAGCGCTATTTCACAGAGGCAGATTGAGGTCCCTGTGAGTGAGGTGGAGAAATGAAAGGAAGTGCTTTTGCAAAACAAATAAGAGAAACTCCACGGAGTGGCACAGCGTTGCTGAAGCCGTCAATGTTGTGAATTCTTCAGAGAGATCTGTGGTGGATATAAAAAAAATGGTCCAATCAGGATTCAATTCCCAGACACCCAGGTGAAAGCCGCGCACACTAACCAGTCACTCAAACAGAGATCTCCTTTGTCCATGTAGCCAGGGCGCATGATCAATCAGGTCACAGTGACAGGACACACACTGTCACAGACACATGACATTCTGTCTCAATCTGTCCCCCTTCTGATATTCTGCATTCCGTATTCTGTGCTTCAGGCTGTGTGTGTGTGTGTGTGTGTGTGTGTGTGCGTGCGTGCGTGCGCATGTGTATGAGTGTGCGTCCGCGTGTGTGTGTTTGGAGGGGTCTTGTTCTGTGGGAAAACGAAGCAGTACAAGTGATAATGCTGCAGCATTTCATAATTTTATCCTTCTCAGTAGCAGCACTGCAGGTGCTCTCCATGTCCAAAATGTTTGTAAGCCAGGGGCCTCATTTATCAAGCTTGCTTACGCACAAAACATGGTCGGAAAACTGCGTAAGCAACTTTACATGCAAACTTTGGGATTTCTGAAAGAAAATTTAGCGGAAAAATGTGCACAACTTTAAGTTGACTAAGGACCTGGCTTATGCACATTTTAGACATGGAAAGCATCTGCAGTGCTGTTGCTGAGAAGGATACAATTATGAAATCCTGCAGCAGCATCATCACTTGTACTGCTTCGTTTTCACACAGAACAAGCCCCCCCACACGCACATACATACACGCGCATGCGCGCGCACACACACACACACACACACACACACACACACACACACACACACACACACACACACACACACACACACACACACACAGCCTTAGGCGCAGAATACGGACGGGGGGCAGATTGAGACAGAATGTCATGTGTCTGTGGCAGTGTGTGTCCTGTCACTGTGAGCCGATTGATCATGTGCCCTGGCTACATGGACAAGGGAGATCTCTGTTTGGGTGACTGGCTAGAATGTGTGACTTTCACCCGGTAGTCTGGAGATCGAATTCCAATTGGACCTTTTTTTTTATATCCACCACAGATCTCTGAAGAATTCACAACATTGACGGCTTCAGCAACGCTGTGCCACTCCGTGGATTTTCTCTTATTTGTTTTGCAAAAGCACTTCCTTTCATTTCTCCACCTCACCCACAAGTACCGCAACTTCTGCTTGTGAAATTGCGCTTCCTTGATCTGCCTTGATCTACAGTCACCATCGTCATTGGTGGAGTGTTGCAACAGCCGGCTTATGTATATGCATGAGATCCACAAGGCACTTTGCATTGACCATTTATGGCAGTAAGTGGGCGTGGTGAGGGCGGGATGTGACTAAAAAGCAGCTGAGAACCTTTCTCGTTAGTCTCCGATTTATGAAGCGGAGATTGCGTGCAGCTGTGTGTACTCCATGATTGATAGATCACAAACCTTCTTGGCGTAAGTACATTTTTTTTTGCTGAGCTTAAGTACAGTTTTAGTAAGGATTCTACGGAATGTTTGATAAATGAGACCCCTGGTCCTTAGTCAACTTAAAGTTGCGCACATTTTTCCGCTAAGTTTTCTTTCATAAATCCCAAAGTTTGCATGTAAAGTTGCTTACTCAGTTTTCCGACCCCGTTTTGTGTGTAAGCAAGATTGATAAATGAGGTCCCTGGACGTTAAACCAACAACAGCCCATCCCATCGTGAGTCAAGATGGTTGAGTCCATGAACGTTAAGTAACAGTGTGACATAGATCTTTCAGGATTTTCAAATCCTAGAGTTTCACCATCTGTTTTCTATCAGAAGTAAATGCAGGAGATAGGTTTAGGAGACTATTTTCTTGTTTAGCATGCATGAAAAACTCAGATTGACCGACTTCCGGTTCTCTGACGGTGCAGATGCGTTTTTCCTCTTCTCCTCCATATCTTATCCTCAAGGCCTTTGTCTGTCCCTGTGTGTTGGGTGCAGAGGCGGTTTTACCATTAGGCAGTGGTGGTTCTACATGGAATTACTCCCCGGGCGAGGCCCCCTTTGAGCGCCCCCCCAACCGCCCTCACCACCACCACCACACCACCCCACCTGCACGAACACACACGTTTTCTACAAACAGGCATGTTTTATTAGAACGACTATTGAACATTCATTTTTCTAAGTTGCACATATTTACATTAATTACTATGAAGTTGCCAGAATGTAAAGCAATATACATTATATACTGTATCAAAATATATAGAATCAAATATACAAAAACAACTAAACTAACTAAATATTAAGAATATATGCACATAATATATAATAAATATTCTAAATAGCAAAAATATTTCACACATAACAAACTAAAGATAATCACTACAGCACTGCACTTAGAACAGAAAACACAAACTAAAATTAAAACCTAACCTTGATGCAAAGTCATCAATAATGTCATCATATGAAATCTGCTCCCCTACTGAGTGATTGATACGAATCAGAGCCAGGTTAGTGAGCCGCCCCTGAAACATAGCTGACCTCAGGTACGACGATCAAGTTTTGAAAAGCTCCTCTCAGCTTGAGCCACAGTGACTGGCAGAGCAGTCCAAAAGTTGGGGTAGATCTCCAATAGATCTTTATCATGATCCATAATATTTTAGAATTGCCTCTGAAATTGTAATTTAAACTGACATAAAAAAACTGTAGACTACCAAAAATGCCAACTTTTACAGAACAAACCAGGTAAAAAATAATCAGTGCAGCCATCTGCAATAAATAAACAGGATAGTTAGTGGTGACTGGGGAGTTTTCTTCTGCTTGTAGAGTTGTTTTATTTATTATTACGTGAACTTGATCAACATGTGTTTGTTGTTGTTCAGGCAGGCCACAGGCTGCAGCGAGCATTTAACAAATCCTAGTTTGAATCAGTAAAAAACGATCCAAGGAATTTATTCGAACCATTTGAATATTCGTTTCAATATTTCAGCCCTATTAGCTCTGTTAGCAACTAGTTGACCGCATTTAACCGTTAAAATCTCGGTTAACTGGTTCAAAAAATTGAAAACATTCATCATGAGAGCGTACATACCTTTATTTTTCTCCTCTTTTTTTCTTTTTTATTCCTGAATCGGGCACCTGTTGGTTTTAGCCTTTTTATGTTCATCTCTTCTGTTTGGCTCTTGACTCAATAAGTTTCCTTTAGTCAGGACTAAACAATTTTACCTTGATGGGGGGTGACCACAAAATCGTTTTGTTTTTCCTTTTTTTATTCGGCCATTTCACACAATTCAGAAACACCTGAAAGAATGATAGGCCTGTGTTTATGATAT